TGATAAAAGTGGTATGTACTTAGTAGGGGAAACTTCTAGTCTAAGGGAAAATCAGGAGAATAGTTTCCCAGGAGAGATTAGGGGCATGTGTCACAATATTTAAAATAAGACCTGAGGTTCACAGCCCCAAAACAACCATAGGAGGGTGCTCTTTTAGACCTCCACTCACCCAATCTCAGGCTCTAGGCCACTACCCCCTGGCTTCTTTTCCCCTTTTATATCACTCATGGTATTCCTTTAAAATCAGTGATGCAGATGAATGTTGGGAACCCCATGGTTAATATTAACCCTGAACTTTCCCGTGTCTCAAGCTTATGGTAAAAATAAAAATCGAGTTTGCTGTATGTGAGAAACGCTGCTTGGAGAATGAAGACATTTGTGGGAGTTGATATAAATAGCAAAAAGAAGTCTAACTTTTAGAGAAGAAATAAACATTTTGCTTATGTTTTCTCTCATTTCCCTTTTATTTTTTTTTTAATTTTTTTTTTATTTATTTCTAGGGGAGAGAGAGAGAGAGAGAGCATGAGCAGGGGAGGGTCAGAGAGGGAGTCACAGACTGAAACAGGCTCCAGGCTCTGAGCTGGCAGTCAGCACAGAGCCCGACGCGGGGCCCGAACCCACGAACTGCGAGATCATGACCTAAGCGAAAGTCGGACGCTTAACCGACTAAGCCACCCAGGTGCCCCTCTCATTTCCCTTTTAAAAGCTCTGTCTGAGAGAAACCATAATAATTTGGTCACATGGTCATTATTTGTTTGATTATGTCAATATGAGAAAATTTAATTTTGTGGGTTTTTTGGTTTTTGTTTTGTTTGTTTTGTTTTTAACAGTTTATAGTCAAGTTGGTTTCCATATAACACCCAGTGCTCATCCCCACAAGTGCCCTCCTCCATGCCCATCACTCTCTTCCCCTCCCTCCCCCATCAGTCCTCAGTTTGTCCTCAGCATTCAAGAGTCTCTCATGGTTTACCTCCCTCCCTCTCCCCAACTATTTATCCCCTTCTTCTCCCCCATGGTCCTCCATTAAGTTCTTCCTAAACCTCCTATACATGCAAACATATGATATCTGTCCTTCTCTGCGTGCCTTATTTTACTCAGCATAGCACCCTCAAGTTCCATCCATGTTGCAACACATGGCCAGATTTCATTCTTTCTCATTGCCGTGTAGTATTCCATTGTAGAGATAAACCACATCTTCTTTACCCATTCGTCAGTTGACAGACACTTAGGCTCTAAGAACTTACCCAAGGGATACAGGAGTGCTGATGCATAGGGCCACTTGTACCTCAATGTTCTTTGTTTTGTTTTTTTTAAGACTCACATCTCTCTCGGTGCAAGCTTCCAAGGTGGTTTCCAACTGTCATAGTCAGCTCAGGTTGCTATAACAGAACACTATCAACAGAGTGGCTTACACACACACATTTGTTCCTCACAGTTCTGGAAGCTGGGAAGTCCAGGATCAAGTTGCCAGCTAGATTCACTTTCTGGTGAGAGCCCTCTTTTGGGTTTTCAGACAACCACCTCCTCACATGGGGAAAACAAAGAGCTCTAGTCTCTCTTCTTCTCCTCAAGATACCAATGCCATCATGTGACCTACTCTCTTGACTTCATATAAACCTTATGACTTCCCAAAGGTCCCACCTCAAAAACCATCACGTCGGTGGTTAGAGCTTCAGCACAAGAATTTAGAGGGACACAAACATTCAGTCCATAATGTAGATGATTCTCATCTCCTGGTATTTATGCCACTGGGTCTTCCTTGTCATAAGAGTAAGAGTCTACTTTTGTGACCATAAGTGAATGTGTGTAACTTCTGAGAACAAATCATAAAAGATATTGTCATTTCTGTATTGGTCCCTGGGATTGCTCATCTGGTAGGAAACAAGCCACCATATTAAAAAGACACTCAGGTAGCCCTGTGTAGAGACACACATATAATGAAACCAACTTGTCAGCACAAGATTGCTAATGTAGGAATTGATCCGTCAGCCCCAGTCAAGCCTTCAGATCATATTGCACACTATCTGAATTCCTGACCCACAAAAACTGAGACATAATAAATGACTACTTTTGTTTCAAGCCACTAAGTTTTGGGGGTGATTTGTTATGCAGTAACAGATATCTTTCCATGTTAATTCCTTTTCCATTACATGTCTACTTGGGTTGAGTGTGGCGTTAGAGTAGACTCGGGCAGTTGAGGGATCTTGCTAAGGAATATTTGAGTTGGGAATACTTGTAGTTTGGGAGTAATGGGGAATATTTATGTCCTTGGTAGGCAATATTGTGCATTGATGAATTCTTTTTAGCTCACCTTAGTATAGGAACAGCTCCCAAGTTTTTTCTGTCACTATACAGCAGCTGTGTCACAATAATAGCCCATACTCTGGGGTCTGCTAGCATTTGACCCATGTGGAAGACACAAGATGTCAAATACACAGAGTCGGAAGTTAGCCTGTGGAAAATTCATTCAAAGTCTATAAAACTAAGGGCATTTGGATGACTCCATCCAACTTTGGCTCAGGTCATGATCTCGCAGTCTGTGAGTTCAAGCCCTGTGTCAGGCTCTATGCTGACAGCTCAGAGCCTGGAGCCTGCTTTGGATTCTGTCTCCCTCTCTCTCTCTCCCTTCCCCACTTGCACTCTGTCTCTCTCTCTCTCTCTCTCTCAAAAATAAATAAACATTTAAAAAATTAGAAAAAATTAAAGAGCCCCCCAAATGGTATACATTTCAGACCCCACAGAACCTGAATCTCCCTGTGCCTAATCTTTGCTTTTAGAACCTCCTCAACATGAAATCTTCTCCATTTTTTTGTTTGTTCATTCATTTATTCATTGACAAGTATTCAGCCCTACCCATGCCATCCTTGCCAGGCTTTCCAAATGCCATTTCCAGGATGAAACAGTGCTTGGTGTGGACCACAGCAGTCAGTGTCTCCTGCCTTGCACAGGTTGTTGACATACTTATGCTTTCCTCCCAGCTACAGCATCCCTGAGGACAGGCAGGGACTTTCTCATTTATTTTTTAACACACACAGATTCAACAGCATCTGGTAATGAGTAAGTTCTTGTTCATAAATGTTCAATACACAATTCTCACCCAGGGAGCTGCAACTTCACAGAACATGCAAAACATTGATTTCTTATTTATTGTTTCAATCTTCTTTGAGCCCCAATCCTCAGTCCCTATTGAATTTCACTCAAGTATTCATTGGTTGTTTTTTTTTTTTTGTCCTCAGCTAGTTGTCTTAAAGCCTCCAATGCCTGTCAATATAGATGGTAGGCAGATTATTGGCTCCTCAACCTTGCCCACATTTCAATACCCAGAACCTATGAATATGTTCCCTTACATGACAGAGAGGATTTAAGTTTGCAAATGAAAGTAAGCTTGCTGTTTATATGAGCTTAATATAAAGATATTATTCTGGATTATCCAGATAGGACAAATATAATCACAAGTGTTCTTCTTTAAAAACATTTTTTAAATGTTTTTATTTATTTCTGAGAGACAGAGAAAGAGAGAGAGAGAGAGAGACAGCATGAGCAGGGGAGGGCCAGAGAGAGATACAGAATCTAAAGCAGGCTCCAGGCTCTGAGCTGTCAGTACAGGTCTTGATGTGAGGCTCGAACCCACAAACTGTGAGATCATGACCTGAGCCAAAGTCAGATAATTAACTGACTGAGCCACCCAGGCACCCCTAATCACAAGTGTTCTTAAAACAGAATCCAATGAAAGACCAGGGAGATAGCATTTTTATAAGGACTGAGCCCAACGTTGCTGGCTTTAAAGATGAAGGAATGGGACTGTGAGTCAATGAATGTGTGTAGCTTTTTAAAGCTGAGTGAGGCAAGGAAATGAATTCTCCCCTAGAGGTTCTAGAAGGAGCAAATCTCTGCTGACACCTTCATTTTAGCCCAGTGAGACACGCTGTGAATTTCTGACCTCCAGAACTGTAAGATAATAAATTCAATCTTTTTAAGCTGCTAAAATTGTGGTAATTTGTTCCATTAGTAATGGGAAATGTATACAATATGGTAAGCCTACAATGTAGAAGCCTTTGTTTAACTATCATACCTCAGAGTATGGCATTTATTGAAACCAATGTTGAAAAAATATTTAGAAATTCATATGACATAAATAATTCTTAGCTTACCAGCAAGTGATCCCTTTGGGAGAAGTCTAGCCCTGCTAATATTAATCCAGCAGGATTGGAATCCAGCTAGATCTTCCCAAGAGTTTAGCTTGGGAAATTAAAGGAAAAAAAGCTGCAATGGATTATAATACTCACCTTCAAAACCTAAATAACCCAGTGCTCATGTGACATCTTGCATTTTGTAAGCTTTCGTTGTTAATACTGCCTTCAGTTTGGTTGTTGAATGTTTACATTCCAAGGAAGGCAAAACACCAGGAAAATAAATAAATTCTCCTAAGGTTGACATACTGGCTATTAACGAATGAAAATAGATGATGGGAGGTATACACACTGATCAAATATCTTCCAAAAGTCAAAAATCTTATTTGAGAATGAGTCATTCTATTAATATATTCTTGAAAGATTTCTGTTCTTGAAACAAACATTTTCATTTGTCCATGCTGTGCAAAGAAATGGGAGGTAAATTAATGTACATTTTAAAAACAAAGGATTTTGTAGCCTTTGAAAGGATGGATTCAGAAGGAATTGTCTTATGTTTGAATGGGTGGCCTCTGCTATTTCCTTTGATCTCCTCTAAAGATTTTAACAAAAATAATGAGAAAAAGACCTGATATGACTTGTACTTAAGGGAGACCATTTGTAAATTAGAGGGTGCCTTGGAAGAGTAAAAGCAAGGAGACAGCTAGTAGGTTACTGTAAAAACAGCTTCCACATCCATAAATATGAGCTGTGATTCACCACTTTAGGGAAAATGGAACTAACTATTCTTGGTCACGTCGACATCATGCATATGGTGGATGTTGTTTTTAATTATATTAGTCTGAAAGCTTTTTAGGGATAATAGCCACATTTGCTTACATTTCTATCTTATATGCCAAAAGTATTGCTAATGTGAGCAATAATATAATAACCTTGGTTTTCTTTATAAATGGTGAGTGTTTCCAGATTTGTGTCGACTCAAATATTTATGAGGATGGTCACTTCAGCACTTTGACTGCGAGTCTAGAAATCCAAATTAAAGTGGCAGCTGGAAAGGAAAGAAGGGGGGGTATAAAAAAAGTTTAAATATTTTATTCAATTATTCAGTTTCCCCAAGCTCTCTGGTTTTCCCACCTCTCACTTAGACAGTTCATAATATTTGACATTTATAGAGCTGCTTTCAAAACGAAGACCCCGAAGGCTTAATGCATCATGCTAAGAGGGAGATCAGCTCACACACCAGGTGCATGACGCCACCCCTGATGTGGAATGTGGCAGCTGGACCACAGCTGGTGGGTAATGAGCACCGGACAATGGCCCAGAACAGGAAGTGACAAGGAATTCTCCGCCGGGCTGAAACGACAAGGACAGCAGATGGCACAAACAGGAGATGACACACTGATCCTGGGGTACGAGTCTTACAAAACATTCAGCCTCCCTTGTCAAGGGTGAGGGGACACATTTTCTGGCATGGCATAGGAATTCCTCACTCATCCAGATCCGGGTCCTCTGAGTCAGCCTTGACCAGTCAGAGGAATGGGTTGAAGACCTGGGAGCTCCGTGCCCAGAAATGGCACAAACATGAAGCAGAGCCGGTTCAGCCATGAGGGCCCCCTGCCATGGGCGGTGGAACGGAAGAGGGGACTTTCTGCCTCGGTGGGCACTTCCGAATCCCGCAGATGGGGATAAGAGTCGCCACTGTTCGCGCGAGGGGTTAAAACAATGTGGTCATGTCCAAATATTTTCAAGATTACTTTCCTGGAGAATTTGTCTCATGCCTGGAGGACTGAACCACTCATTCCAATCTGTTCACTTCTGACATTTTTAGTACATCTCCTCAAATTACACCCCAACAGTAAAATAAATGGGATGAAGTCTCCGGGCTTCCTTTTCTTTTAATTTAAAAAAAGTGTGTGTGTGTGTGTGTGTGTGTGTGTCTGTGTGTGTCTGTGTGTGTCTGTGTGTGTGTTGCTCTTCTTAGAAGTTTTGAAGAAACTAAAGGGGGAAATACAGCTCTGGTTCATTTGGACCTGCTGAGCCACTTTGGCTGATTCGAAGTTACTAGTAACTGTGATAAAATTAGCACAGATGTGACAAGTATGTGAAGCCAACAACGGGCCAACTGTCACGGCTCCGAGATGGGAGGTTCAGGGCAAGATATGCAGTTGACCAAAGTGTGAGTTTAGTTCAGAGACCTCTTCCTGCAGAGAGAGCAACTGGGTTGTCCCACAGGCGCACCAACACCAATCACCCAGTAATGTGTCATGGCGTCCATTGTAAGAGAGATTCTGAGACCACAGTCAGGAGACTCAGCCACAAAATATGGAGGGAGGTGGCAAGGACACAAACGTCATGCATCTGCAACTTTGGTGGGAGTATTGGTAGCAGAAAGACAGACACAGTTAGAGGTCATGTTCCTGAAAGATGTTGTGTGTAGTTTTCCGATGTTAAAAGAAAAGTCTGCCTTGGCAGGTGCCTGGGTAGCTCAGTCAGTTAACCGTCTGACTTGATTTTGGCTCTCATGGTTGGCACGTTCGAGCCCCATATCAGGCTGTGCGCTGATGGCATGGAGCCTGCTAGGGATTCTATCTCTCTCCCTACCTCTCTTGACCCCTCCCTCTCTCTCTATCTCTCTCTCAAAACAAATGAAACTAAACTTTAATAAAAATTTTAAAAAAGAAAAGAAGAAGAGAAAAAGGAAAGCCTGGCTATGATGTGACTCTGGCACTTGCAAAGTTTTTCTGGGACCAAGATGCTGCAGGACCTCCTTCCGCCGGACCATGTTCTCCACACCAGCCACTCTAGGTGCATCTGGCAACAAGGATTCTAGGAGGCGATGAGCCCTGGAATGGTCAGCAGTGCAGGTTCTTTGGACAGGCCTTTGTAAGCGCAACTCAGGACAATGACTAGCTTTTATGTAGCATTTCTTTTTTTTTTTTTAAATGTTTTATTTATTTCTAGGAGATAGAGAGAGAGACAGCGTGAGCAGGGGAGGGTCAGAGAGAGGGAGTCACAGACCGAAACAGGCTCCAGGCTCTGAGCTGGCAGTCAGCACAGAACCCGACGCGGGGCTCGAACCCACGAACTGCGAGATCATGACCTAAGCGAAAGTCGGACGCTTAACCGACTAAGCCACCCAGGCGCCCCTACGTAGCATTTCCTACATGTCGGTAACGTTCAGGGAGTTTTCAGAACATCAGTGTATATGCTTTCTCCACATCACACTCCAGGAAGTAAACGATGTTACATCTAGTTAACAGACCAGGAATCAGAGACTTGTTGAGGTTAACTTCAAGTGCACCGCAGAATTTCCATCCAAGTCTCTCTGGCTTCAAATACAGTTATAACAGCTAATGTTCACATGGATTGTCATTTATTTAATTATTTATTTTTAATGTTTTTATGTATATGAGAGAGAGAGAGAGAGAGAGAGAAAGTATGTGAGCAGGGGAAGGGCAGAGAGAGACAGGAGACAGGATCTGAAGCAGGCTCCAGGCTCTGAGCTGTCAGCACAGAGCCCAACACGGGGCTCAAACTCAGGAGCCACGAGATCATGACCTGAGCTGAAGTCAGATACTTAAACAACTGAGCCCCCGGTGCCTCAGCATATATTGTTATTTCTTGCTTGTAACTGCCTTACCTTTATTGCCACTTTATGTGATGAAATTGAGACCTGAAAAGTCTAGGTAGCTTATCTGACTTGTCATGGGGACAGCATGGCAAAGTTTGGATTCCCTCTTGGGCAGACCCACTATGGTCAGGGGACAAGAACAGCCGTCATATGCCTGAAAATCCAACACCTTGAACTACCCGATACAATGGTATGTATCACTTAAGGGACATGTCTCACTTAAGGGACAATGATCACTTGGTGCATGGGAAGGTCTTTACTCTTTAGATGCAATGTAATATGTAGAGAAAGGAAGCCAGGCCAGACATCTTAGCAAACGGGATCAATGTGCTAGAAGATGACATTGGGAAGGTGACAGGAAGAAGATCTGGGAAAGATAATTGTGAACAGAAACCCTCTCTCCCAGGAAACAGATTTGAGAGTTTGAATGGGCTGGGAGAGAATTCCATTTACCTGAAGACAAGCAGAAGTGGAGGTTTCCTGGGCACCTGGGTGGCTCAGTTGGTTGAGCGTCCAACTTCAGCTCAGGTCATGATCTCACAGTTCATAAGTTCAAGCCCCATGTCCAGCTCTGTGCTCATAGATCAGAGACTGGAGCCTGCTTTGGGTTCTGTGTCTCCCTCTCTCTCTGTCCCTCCCTGGCTCACACTCTGTCTCAAAAATAAATAAAACATTAAAAAAAAAAAAGAAGTAGAGGTTTTTTGTGTATGCTCACCATGTCCTCTAACTATTCTTGTTATCTTGGCTAGAACCAGTGTGCTGGACCAGACGATGCAGATCAGACTAAGGGTGGAGGAAAGAGAAGCAAGGTGAGTGAACCTAGTACAGACCTCAGAAGTTCATGAGAAAGGGTTCAACTCTAGAATTCTAGACTAGAATAAATAGATCTATAATTTGGTTTTCTGCCTACAAAAAAACACGCACAAAAATTAAAACAAAACAAAACAAAACCCCTCATCAGCAAGGAGAAAGAAAAAAAATGGGACCTGTGATATGTCCATGGAAATGGTCTAGGTAAGCTGAGAAGTAGGCCAAGTGCTTAGGAGAAAGGGCATTGCTTTCTTTCTTTAAATTAGAGGTAGTGGACCAGTTATCTCAGATCACCTGCAGATCACTCCTCAGAGCACCTGCATCAGAATCACCTGTGGGAGGAGGGCTTTTTCAATGTTGATTTTTTAAAAATTTTTTTTGATGTTCATTCATTTTTGAGAGACAGAAAGAGACAGAGCTTGAGCGAGGGAGGGTCAGAGGGAGAGGGAGACACAGAACTTGAAGCAGGCTCCAGGCTCTGAGCTGTCAGCACAGAGCCCAATGTGGGGCTCAAACTTCACCAGCTGTGAGATCATGACCTGAGCCAAAGCTGGACACTCAACAAACTGAGCCTCCCAGGCGCTCCTCAGATATTGATTTCTGAGGGGTGCCTGGGGGGCTCATTCAGGTAAGCACTTAAGCTACAGACTCTTGATTTCAGCTCAGGTCATGATCTCACGGGTTTTGAGTTCAAGCCCTGTGTCAGGTTCTGCACAGATGCTCAGAGCCAGCTTAGGATTTTCTGTCCCTCTCTGTCTCTGCCCCTCCCTTGACATCTCTCTCTCTCTCTCTCTCTCTCAAAATAAAATAAAATAAAACATTAAAAAATTTTAAATGTTGATTTCTGGCCCGTTTCTTCATCCCACTGAATTTAGACCACACAGGCAGGGCCCCTCCACACCCCATAGGATTCCTCTGCACTCCTGCACATGCTTTTGTTGAAGGTGGGGGTTACATTTTCACTCTGTGAGATCAGGATGGATTGAACTCTACTTTGTGGTTTTACTAAGTGACCGTGGAAAATGATTTTTACTAGTCATCACTGGTAGTTATCACCTTCGGTTTCTCAACATTTGTTATGTTCTGTTCGTTAGAATCAAACAATGGAGTGTTTTTTTTTTTTTTAATAATGATACCTGAATTTCTATACTTGGTTCAGAGATATAGCCCGTGGCCTGGGAATCTGTATTTTATAAAAAACTCCTTCAATGCCTCTGGTTTGTGGCCCGTGTTGACAATCATTAGCAGTAACAAGGTGTAGCAAATGCAAAACAAACCACCGTGATGCTCAAATATTTTAACTAGTTCTACCATTGGTGTATTCCATTGTCATTGTTCTTTGACCATTTCTTATAAGCAGAGTCCGTGGGCTTCCAGCCAAGCAAGAATCTCCATTGAGAACAATTTTAAACCAAAACTCCCAGGGTAAACCTAAGATACAAATTGAAAAGTAAAAACCAAGTTTTTCATCAGAAAATTTTTTTTTCCTTTAAGGATGAAAGTGGGATCTAATTTGGTTTATATCAGGTGTAGAAAGAACCCACATGAAACACATAAGCTCCGAGGGTACAGCCTAGAATGTGAACTTGCTACTTAGAACAATAGAAAAGGGCTTTTCACCAGTTATCATGGGCAAGGTGATTTCAGTCACACATGGGAACTTGGTGCTTTTGAGTTATTTTGATTTTATATTATACTAGAGTAGAGGCTAATAGCATTCTTCAATCCTCTGCCATTGACAGGGCATGGGAAGTTACGAAGACTGGAGCAGGGAAAGTATAGTGAGAGCTTTTCTGGGTTACAGTTATTGTAGGGCGAACTTTCCTTCTATGGATCCTTGAACTTATGGTTCAGAAATCCTCACTAGTAGAATTTTAGAGATATCACTTGTGGAAACGTGTATCTGAGCTAACACAGAAGATTTAACACAGATGTGGGTGGTGGACCCATTGCTAGTATACATTTACCTTGTTTATTTCCCTGAAAATGGCATAACTGTCCAAAGCCTTCATTCCAAAGAAGACCCTTACAGGGGGAAGTCAACCTGTTCCCTCATCCAATCCAACGATGGGCTAATGTTTGGTAGAGTGCCAATGTATATGTCAGGAACTATAATATAGTCTCTGTCTTCTATCACATTTCGATCTGTCTACAAATTCTACCAGCTGATATACATTATAACCTGTTAATGAATGAAAAATGTATGCTTGGAATTAGACAATTGGGTGACTATTACATAGGATTGTCAACAGAGCCAGAATTTGAACCAAAATCAGTCAGACTCCAAATGCATACATATTTGATGTCAACACATTGGCTCTGTCTAGAATGTAGATGGGTTAATGTAGAAGGGATGGAAGAGGCAGGGCTTGCCTTGATGAGAGTAGAGTGGCGACTTCTCTCCAGTATCTCTGGCACTTGGATGTGAAGAAAATCAAAAGCAGAAAAATACATGATCATGCATCTTCCCGGAGATCCTACAGAAAAGGGTAATGCTAGGCTACCCTGAGACTCAGGAGGTTAAAATCAAATGTAAATTTCCCCTTTCTGTGGTTTTGAAAGAGGGAGAAGGAGAAGGAAATGCTGTTTGAGTAAAAATAGAAAAAAAGTAAGCATTTGTATATAAAAATTTGACTCTTAAAATACTAACTTCATACTTTAAAAAAATAGTTTATCGCTTTGAATACCTGTAACATTATAGGTATATACATTACCTCCTTTAACCATTACAACAACCTTGTGAGATGGCTATTTTATAGGTAGGAAAATTTGGCTCAGAGAGATGGAGTAATTTGTTCCAGAGAAGAGCTTGTAAGTGACTGGGTCAGGATTTAAGATTTTTTGTGTTGTTTTGTTTTATTTTTTTTAATGTTTATTTTTTTGAGGGAGAAAGAGAAGAGAGCAAGCAAAGAAAGGGGAGGAGAGGAAACATAGAATCTGAAGCAAGCTCTCGGCTCTGAGCTGCCAGCACAGAGCCTGATACAGAGGCATCCCAGGATTTAAAGGTTTTTTTAAGTTTTATTTATTTTAAGAAAGACAGAGACAGCATGAGTGGGGGAGGGACAAAGAGAGAAGGTGAGAATTATCCCAAGCAGGCTCCATAGGGTCAGCACAGAGTCCAGCACAGAGTCCAACATGGGGCTTGAACTCACAAACTTTGAGATCGTGCCTTGAGCCAAAATCAAGAGTCAGATACTTAACTGACTGAGCCATTCAGGTGCCTCAGCTGATTCCAAATCCAAAATTTTTCCTGTCGATTGCACCAGACTCCTACTCTGCCATTGTAAGTATTCAATAACTATTCATTGAACAGAAATAAATTCAACAATGCAGATTTATCAATAAGATTTCCAGCCAGGCAAATAAATGGCCACATTAATTTTAAAAGTGTTTGCCTAGACTTACCGCATGCCTCCACAAATATTTTCAGTGCATAAAGAACTTAAAGATGACCAAATATAGCCCCTGCATTAAAAAAATTTTTTATTACGTTGTATAGGGCATAAAATCAGCACACAGGTTACTATGTGATAAAAAAGAGGTTCGCCAAGTGCTGTAGAGATTCAAAGTAGGGACTGAGCAAAGCCAGTGAATGGTCAGGCTCAGTCAGCTAAACGTCTCAGGTCATGATCTCACGGTTCGTGAGTTCGAGCCCCGCCTCAGGCTCTGTGCCACTTCAGATCCTTTGTACACCCCTTCTCTTTGCCCTTACCCCGCTTGCTTTCTCTGTCACTCTCAAAAATAAATAAACATTTAAAAAGAGACTCCAGCAAACCCCCATGCACAATGCACACACTTACACGTGCATACACACACTCACATACACACTCAAGAAGTCACTCCAACATGCACTTACTCATACAAGCTCATGCACATGTGCACTCGCATGCTCACTCACTCAATTCACATTCACACACACTTATGCACACATACGCAGACACGCACACACTCATGCACACAATGGCATGCTTATTCGTGTGCACACAGGTTAACTCACCCAACACCCACTCACAGATGCACAATCGCCCACCTTCATACACTTACACACACACCGCATACACATGGTCACTCGTGTGCACTCTTGCCCCCACACACAAACACATACTTTTTAAAAAATTTTTCTTAATGTTTTATTTATTTCTGAGAGAAGGAGAAAGAGACAGTCCAAGCAGGGGAGGGGCAGAGAGAGAGGGAGATACAGAATCTGAAACAGGCTCCAGGCTCTGAGCTGTCAGCACAGAGCCTGATATGGGGCTCGAACCCACGAACCATGAGATCATGACCTGAGCTCAAGTAGGACGCCTAACCGACTGAGCCACCAAGGTGCCCCCAAACACATACTTAAACACATACACACTGACACAGAGGCTTCTTTCCTAGAAGGCTGGCCTGAGATGTATGGAATTTTCCAGAAGATCATTGAGCTTGCCTGTTGTTCTGGCTCAGGGCAGACACAGAGTGCCCTCCCTCCACCGCCCAGCTCCTGCAGACCTGAAGCAACAGCTCATGTATGGGAGTAAGATTCAGAGATCTGAAAAGAACTATAAGCCTTGAATGTAGGCTTTCACATGGTGGCGAATACCACCGGGAGGGACACCCAAACGCAAAACCCCTGCCCGAGTGCTCTGCGCCAGCGCCTGCCTCCGAGGGGGCCTGCTGCCAGGGAGGTGATTAAAACCAGCTTCTATCTAATTGAAAAATGACTGCCCTACCTTTCTTTCCAAATATGTTTGTAAATTCCTCCTAATTAACTTTTTCCCCTCAAAGAAAGACTGTGGGGTTGCTCCTGAGGAAAATACAGGCAGTGGCATGTGGCCAGCAACTTCCAGACCATTCCGCTCTGATAAGGGCTAACTCCCTGCTGTGCAGGTGGGTGAGGACACAGGGGTGGGGCTGCAGCCGTCCAAATGCTCAAGGTCCCTCTCACTCCTTTTTCAGCCTTTAAAAATATATTGCTCTTTTTTTTTTTTTTA